TGTTGAACATTATTTATTCTAAAGAATAATTATTGTTGGCCCCCTGGTGCGCGCCCCCCCTGCGCCGCCTAGGCCGCAGCTACATTTTCATCATTTTCGTGAGGAAGCCTCAGAAAAGAGGGTGTGTACAGGATCCGGTTGTTTTGTTGTAATCCGCTTTCCCTTGCAAAAAACAATAGAAAATGACATTTCTTGTTCTAATATAATCAAATTTCAAGAAATCCCTTGCAAAAAATAAGGTAAAGTGGACATTCGCGCGCGCAAGACGAAATCCTTCCAAAACCTTAGTGTTCGCAGCGATTTTAACATAAAAACATCAAAAAACCAATGGTTTTTCAACAACAAATTGTCAAAATCTCATCCCGCGCGCTCTTGCGGATTCGTAGGAAACCCAACACTTTTTAAACATTTTGTCAAACGGGCTTTTGCGAGCAACTTTTTCGAACTTCTGCGACAACGGTTGCGCACCTGCCAGGGCCATCATCCCTGTCAAATACTACCATGCGGGACACATTCGTTTTTTCTTCGCGCGCGCACGCCGTCGTCGTCGGCCGCGGGGCCCTGAATAGTAGCCACGGTCGTCCGCATGCCACGAAGTGAAGTGTCCGAACGTCATAGGGCGGGAAGCTGGGTGTGGGTGGTGGCGAAGAGTCGTTTGGAAATTTGGTAGAGCTTGAACCGGCCCCCCCACAAAGTGGGGGTATTGCCCGCCTCCTATGAAAACCCTGGCACTGGTGAGAACGGAGTGTCCCCACGTGCTAGTAATTGTTGTTGTTGTTGTTGTTGTTGTTGTTGCTGTTGCTGTTGTTGTTGTTTGTGTTGTTGGTGTTGTTGTTGTTGTTGCTGTTGTTGTTGTTGTTGTTGTTGTTGTTGTTGTCGTTGTCGTTGTTGTTGTTGTTGATGTTGTTGTTGTAGTAATACTAATAAGAAGACGAGGGAGAAGACTCACAATGCTTAGTATAGTAATGAGGAGAAGAAGGCTGCGCTTGGAGCCGCGCCCCACTCCGACCTCCTCGGACAGCCACAGCCACGATGGAACATCGGGGAACTAAGGCGCGCGCGCGCTTTTTTGAAAGCGCGTGCGCCTTTTGTCCTTAATGTTTTTGTGAAGTTCGCAGCGCCCGAGGCACCCAAGACGGCCGAAGAGGGCCCCAGCACGGCCCAAAAATCCCCGCGTCTTTTCCAAGAGGCTTGCGCCGCCAATACAGATCCGCAAGGTTCCCCTGCCGAATCGCTTGCGATTGTGCCCCGCTGGCACACACACTAGTCATCTACAACGCTGGGATCAGCGCGTGCCGAAATGGCCGGCAGTGGCAGCATGCGCTGGCGCTGCTGAGCGAGATGTTGGAGGCGAAGGTGGACCCCGACGTTGTCCGTACAGTCAAGTAATGCCAGGCGCACCGCGCGCGGGAAGGCAAAGCGCTCAATTAGTAAGTGGGCAAAGCTTTCCAACACCCAAAGGAAGATGTATGTCTTTTGCTTCGCAGGCTTTTCGACGCGAGACAGCTCCAAGACGGCTTCGGGGGAGACTATTGAGCTCCTTGCGGGCCACCTTGGGCCTTCTGGGGGCCCCCGTCGAGCCTCCCGGGTTGTTTTCGGGGCCTCCTTGGGCCGTCTCGGTCCGTCTTCGGGCAGTCTTAGGGCCCTCTGGGCGGTCTTTGACTGCCTCGAGAGAGCCAAAGGGCGGCCCCAGAGGGCTTCTAGAATATTACAGGAAGGCTTCGGAGAGCTTCCAGACGGCCCGACACGCCCTCCAGAGAGCGCCACGACGGCCAAACAGACCCCCAGAGAACTCCGAGACGGCCCAGGACGGCCCCAAGAGGGCCCAAAGAGGCCCCCAATAGTTTCGGCCATACGGCCCCCCAGCACGGCCTGCATATCCCGCAGCACACAAGCCAGCAGCGGCAGCAATTAGTAGCTAGCAGCAGAAAACAAGCAGCCGCTGCAATGCCCGCGGCCGGCTGGCGGCCATCCCCGCTGCCGTTGCGTGCGGCAGAGGGTCACTTGCGACAGCCAGGCTTGCCAGCATGCTGGCAGTGACGTCGGGAAGAATACTGCCTGGCTAGCAGCTACGCGTGCAAAACAGCAGGCAAGCAGGCAAGCGATCTCAGCTTCTGCACGCGCGCAGGCTGTCGTGGACGTAAGTCCACCGGTCAGCTCTAGTGAGCTACAAGGCTGGGATCAGCGCGTGCGAGAATGACGAGCAATGGCAGCGGGTGCTTGCGCTGTTGGGGGAGATGCGGGAGGCGAAGCTGGAGCCCAACGTCATCTATCCTGCAGTAGCAGGAGCAGCCCGTCAATGGAGCCCAGGCAGTGGTAGGGCCAGTCGGCCCCAGACAGCTTGCCGCGGCATCAGGCGCACCCAGCGCCCCAGACCGGCCAAGACGCCTCTGGACGGCGCCGATTGGGCCCCCCATATTTCCATGCAGCCCAAATGGGGTCGAAGTAGATGGGTGGGTGGATCGCGGCGCATCGCCGATGCATCGATAATGCGGCTCGATGTGGAGCCCGATGTCCTCCACGCCGACGTCGCCGAGCACGAAGCAAAGAGCAGCAGCAGCGGCAGCACACAGCAACAGCAAGCAGCAGCAGGCAGCGGGCACCAGGACGCACCCATCATAACGACAAACGTCACCAACGGCACGCAACAGCGGCAGCAAAATTACGCGCGGAGTGCGAAGTTTGAGCCCCACTTCATCATGTCAGGCTTTCGCGGCAGCTTGTCCACAACCACATGCGAGGGTGCAGACTTCGTGGACGTAGTCCACGGGTCAGCCCTAGTCTCCTCTTCTTCTTTCTACAATGCCGGGATCAGTGCGTGCGAAGCCCGCTCGAGTGGACTCGGCCTGGCCCCTGGCGCTCCTGGGGCCCTGGTCCGTCGCCGGCGCCCCCGGAACGGTCTTGGTCCGTCGCCGGCGCTCCCCGAACGGCTCTCGCCCGCTCGTGACGGATCCACGAGAGTCCCGAGCGAGCCCCGAAACGGCCCCCCAAGGGCCCCTGAAGGTCCCGAGTGGCCCCAGAGGCTCTCTTGACGATTTCGACAAGGGCTTCAGGGGGCAAAAAACATTGATTTTCCATTGGTTTTTGATGATTTTCCCGCTTCGGGCTTCTTCGATCCGGAACGGCTCCAAAGGCGCCGCGAATCGTTTCAAGGCCGCCCAGAAGGCCCCCAAGAGGGCCCCAGAACGGCCCAAGAGCGCCCAAAGATTGCCCAAGACGGCCCCAAGCCGGCCCAAGAGGGCCCCGAGAGGCCCCCGAGACCAACCAAGAAGGCCCCAGGACGACCCAAGAGTTCCTAAGACTGCCCAAAACGGCCCCAAGCTGGCCCCAGACGGCCCCCCCGAGACCCACCATGAGGCCCCCAAGAAGGCCCCAGGACGGCCCAAGAGCGCCCCAAGACTGCCCAAGGCGGCCCCAAGAGGCCCCCGAGACCCCCCCAGGGAATCCCAAAACGGCTCGATAGCGCCCCAAGACTGTCCATGACGGCCCCACGCCGGCCCAAGAGAGCCCCAAGAGGCCCCCGACATCCCCCAAGGACTCCCGAAACGGCTCGACGAGGGCTCCCAGAGAGCCCGAATCGGCGACCAAATGGATACTACAACGTACCCCCTCCTTGTAGCATCCACCAGGTGCTTTCTGCGACCCTTCTTGGGGCAGGACGCCCTCCTGCGTGCGCAGGGTCGGGCCAGAGCCCTGGGAGGCTGCGCATCGCGTCCGCTTTTCCGAGAGTCGAGCGCGCGGCGCCGACAGCACCGAGACACGCGCGCCTTCGCCTGGGGGAACGGGCAGGGTACAAAAAAATGGCCCAGAGCACCTCATCGCGCCATGTTGCGCGTGCTGCTTGCACATCGCTGTGCCGTCCCAGTGAATTCCCTTAAACAACGCTGGAAACCTAACGTTTTCCCCGTGTGTCCCTTTGAATGGCGCCAAAACCATTGGGGATGGCTATGTGCCGTCAACGCCGCCGCCCCTGCAGGGTCGTCTTCGCGAACCTCCCAGGACACCGCCGTCTGAGAATTTCCCAAAACACGGTGGTTTTGAGGCCATTCCTGGGGACACGCGGAAAACCGCTCGAGTTTTCAATAGATTGTCCTTGCCTGCTCTGGTAGCCCCCCAGACTCCAGGAGGCCCCGGGCCCCGCCTCACACGGCGCCTCCTCTCGGGACACCTCAAGAGGCCCTCCAGGGAAGCCCCGGCGAGGGTCCCATTTGAAAGAACGAGCCGCCGTCTCTCCATCGTCCGCGCCTGCTCTGGTAGCCCCCCCAGCCTCCAGGAGACCCCGGGCCCCGCCTCACACGGCGCCTCCTCTCGGGACGCCTCAGGAGGTCCTCCCAAAAAAAGACCCAGCGAGAGTCCCGCTTTGAAGAACGAGCCGCCCTCTCTCCATCCTCCGCGCACCTGCTCTGGCTGGTAGCCCCCCCAGCCTCCAGGAGGCCCCGGGCCCCGCCTCACACGGCGCCTCCTCTCGGGACGCCTCAGGAGGCCCGCCAGGGAAGCCCCGGCGAGGGTCCCAGTTTGAAGAAGGCGCCGCCCTCTCTCCATCCCTCCGTGCCTGCCCTTCCTCGGCACAGCGACGAAGACGATTCTTCGGACTGGTCCGACGAAGCGGGATCGGCCTCAAACGGACAACGCGGGAGCCACCGTAAGGTGCCCTCTTGGCATCGCACCTGCAACGCACGGACCAATCGAAAGTAGAGGCCCGCATGCATGTTTTTCTTTGCAGTTCACTTGCTCGCCAGCCACGCGTCCCCCCACAGTGGCTCGCATGATCACGTGCTGAGCGCACATCGCAGGAGCCCCCATTTGACGAATGCCTCGCATGGTGCAGTGCTGAGCACACTCCGTCCGCCCACGACTTGCCCCAACGCTATCGTATTCTCCGCTGTCCCCTTTCTTGCAGATGACGGCCACCTGTCCTCCCCCCAGTGGCTCGCATTGTCACGGGCTGAGCTCACACCGCAAGAGCCCTCCTTTGACGAGCGCCTCGCATGGCGCCGTGCTTGGCAGTTCATTTGCTCGCAAGTCACGCCCCCTTGCCCAGTAAAGTCTTAGGACGGCCGTAAATTCTTCACAACGTGAGAGCGGGGAACACAGGAACCAACATAATGAACCCCACCGCCATCAGATTCTCAGCTGTTCTCTTCCCCGCAAGTGACGGCCACCTGTCCCCCCCCCCAAGTGGCTCGTATGGTCACGTGCGGAGCCCACATCACAGGAGCCCCCATTTACGAGTGGCTCGCATGGTGCCGTGCTGAGCTCACTTCGTGCCTCGCATGTAAACGCACTCATGGTCCGAGAAGGCCACGAGTCGCCATCAGGTCGATCCAGGCCGTCCAAGATCGCGCCCGGATGGCCCAGGGAGCTTCCAGGACGCTTCGGAAGGCTTCTGAGAGGCCCTCCCAGAGAGCCCCCAGTGTCAACATGGATTGGTTTTCATTGGGCTTTTGAAGGTTTTTCGGACTTCCGCGTCTTCGGCTTGCCGACGCACCAAGACAGCCCAAGAGGGCCAAAAAGGTTCCAAGAGGCCTCCAACAGGCCGCAGGCAGCCTGTTCGTATCTATCGTTGCTCAAGCCGTGTTGCCTCACGGCATTGTCGGAACATGTTTGCCGCCCAAGGCAAACGCCGACAACGACACGCACGCACACACACAAGCACACACACATACATACATACATACATACATACATACATACATACATACATACATACATACATACATACACACACACATGCATACATACACACACATACATACATACATATATACATACATACATCCATACACACATACACACATACACGTACCTACATACATACATACATACAAACATACATACATACATCCATACATACATACACACATACACGTACCTACATACATACATACATGCATACATACATACACACATACATACATACATGCATACGTACGTACATACATACATACATACAGACATGCATACATGCATGCATGCATGCATACATGCATGCATGCATGCATGCATACATACATACACACATACATACACACGCATACATACATACATACATACATACATACATACATACATACATACATACATACATACATACATATACATATACATATACATATACATATACATACATACATATACATATACATATACATACATACATACATACATACGTACATACAAACACACACACACCTTGAAACCTTCAGACTTCATTGCGTACAAGTTCGCATCGGGCTGATGAGCATGCCAGTGAAACTCGCCACCGCGTTTTTGACAGGGGCAAACGGGAACGACTTCGACTCCTGCCTGATGTAGATGGCTGCAAGCCCGACTCAGGTTACAACCGTCGAGCGGCTACTCGGGGATACTTATGTTAAGTCCTGCCAGTCAAGGATTTTTGGTACCCAGCTGGTTTTGGTCAACAAGCGCTACACCGACGGCTGGGGTGGCACTGGATCTTCGCACCTGCAATTCAGCGTTCCTTGCGATGCTCAGGAAGCAACGCTCCTGCTGTGGCTCATTACCTATTCTGCTGGTACCCTTCCAAAGGTGGCCGTCTTTCAGGTGCAGGGCGAGTGGTCGGAAAACGCCACCATGTGGTCCAGCCGGCCCAGCTACCGGGAGCATATTTGCGATTATCAGGACTCCCCCTGCCCACTCGGGCAGTCGTTCGCATGCACCGTTCTGCAGGCGAAACTCGCCGATAAGAACCCCATCTCGCTTGCGTTAGTTGCAGAATGGCTGCGGGCGGGGGCCTCTGCTTGTGGGTCTCGCGAAGCCCTCGACGCGAGCACCAAACCGTCACTGGTGTTCCAGTGTTTTCATGCAGCACCCACGATGGCTCCGACGAGCAGCCCGACCTCGTCCCCGACGCCCAGTCCGACGAACAGCCCGACAAGCAGCCCGACCTTCAGTCCGACCGCGTCCCCGACATCCAGTCCGATGAACAGCCCGACCTCTGATCCTTCCTCGTCCCCGACGCCCAGCCCCACGCCTTCGCTGACTGCGGCCCCGACGAGCAGCCCGACAAGCAGCCCGACCTCCAGTCCGACCGCGTCCCCGACGTGGGTCCGACGAGCAGCCTGACCTCTGGTCCGTCCTCGTTTTTCCCAGGAAGTGTGGCGACGAGTTCGGCCGTTGGCGATCCCCATATGAAGAATGTATTTGGCGAGCGTTTTGATTTGATGGCGCCAGGCAACCATGTTCTCATCAACATCCCTCGTGGAGAGCGCGCTGAAAAAAAAACTCTGCTTCGCGTGCAGGCCGATACACGCCGATTGGGTAATCAGTACACGGTTCCGTGTTTCCAAGACTTGAACGTGACCGGGTCTTGGGCAGAGGCAAAACAAGCCGGAGATTTTTCGTCACAGGCTCCTCAGTGGGTTAGTTTTGATACGATAGAGCTGAAGGTTGTTCGTGGGCATACGGACGGCGGCACGTCGTATTTGAACGTGCACGTCAATCCTCCTCCTCCTCCTCCCCCTCCTCCTCCTCCTCCTCCTCCTCCTCCTCCTCCTCCTCCTTCTCCTCCTTTCAAGAGGTCTCGAGACAACCCCAGCACGGCTCCAGCTGTCCCCCGATCGCCCCGCAAGCAACCCAGGGATGGCGCTGTCCTCCCTGAGGGTTGGGTGACATAGCCGCCGTCGCTGGAGCGCCCAGTTTTCGACAGCCATGTCCCCCCGCCCGGGGGGGGGATACTCGAGCCTGGTCTGCGGTACTGAAGAGCGCCGCAGTCAAACGCCCCTGAACTCGTTGTCTGCTTTCCTCCATCCTCCACCTTCCTTCCCGGCTCCCCCCCCCGAGCAGCCTTGCGGACGAGCTTTTCGTGTCTCAGACCGCTTCGAGAAGCTGTTCGGCTCAGACAAGCTGTTCTGGTACGCTTTCGCCAGCTCGCACGCGCGGCGTGCGCGTCCCAGGTTCAGCGCACCGTGGATTTGTTCCACGGCGGCACACTAGTCCTCTACAACGCTGGGATCAGCGCGTGCGGAAATGGCCAGCAGTGGCAGCATGCGCTGGCGCTGCTGAGCGAGATGTTGGAGGTGAAGGTGGACCCCGACGTTGTCCGTACAGTCTAAGTAATGCCGGGCGCACCGCGCGCGGGAAGGCAAAGCGCTCGATTATTAAGTGGGCACAAGTCGTCCCCTGCGCGCCCTCGGGCGCCACCGGGACCCTCAAATCTGGCTTCGGATAGCCCTGAGACTGCCCAAGGTGGCCCGAGACGCCTACAGACGGTCCAAGAGGTCACCAACATGGCTTTCAGACGGCACAGCAGTGCCCCAAGACGGCCCGAGAGGGCTCAGCAGGACCCCGAGAAAGCCCCGAGAGAGCAAATCATACATTTTCTCAGGACGTTGCTGGAGGATTTTGACGTGTCGCCGTTGCGGACTTCCGACACTCCAAGACGGCCCAACGAGCCCAAAATATTGTTCTAAGACAGACCAAAAGGCCCCCAAGAAGGCACCAAGACGGCCCAAGGTGGCACCCAGACAGCCCAAGAGGCCCCCAAGACGGCCCAAGACGGCCCCAAGCGGGCCCCAATGAGGGGGACTTCGAGCTGACATCTCGCGCCTTCCGCCCCAAGAGGACCCCCGAGACCGACAGCAGGCCCCCCTTCGGAAGCTCCTGGAGGCCCGCGACAAGGCCCAAACATCAGGCCCCGAGAGGTCTCCGAGAGGCCCCAAAAGACACCCCCAAAACCGTTCGCTCGAGGCTTCCGGGGGGCGATCCTTTACAGTCAGCCCGCATGGTAAGGATGGGCAGACTTCCCAAGGGTACCCTTGCACCCTTGCCCCTTCGGCCACTCCTTGGCGACTTTCGCTGGCCAACCTCGCTCAAAGGCCGTGCGCATGGGCCTCCAAGGCCCTTGCATCCTCACCGCGCATCCTTATGATACGGGTTGACTGTAGAGAGCGCTGGGACCTCGCCGGCCACCCATGAAATAAGGCTCCTACGGTCGGTTCGCGTCGTGTCGACCTGCGGTGGCCCCGCCGCCGACGTTGAACGCCGCTGGCGACCCAAGAGTCGGTCGATGCTGAACGATATTTCGTTTCGGAAGCGGGCGATCGTTCCCCAAAAGTCGGTCGATGCTGAACGATCTTACGTTTCGGAAGCGGACGGTCGTTCCCCGCGGTGTCAGAAGCCAACGCCGGGGTCGACACGACACGAACCCGCCGCATGCGTCTCTGATGTTCCTCCCTTCGGCGGAGCGGCTCTGGCCTGAGTGAGCGACCGGTCGGGGAGTTCTCCCCGAGAGTGCTCCCAACAGGCTGGCCTCCAGGGGGCATGCTCCGCGGTGCCTTCTGCTTTCTCCAGAACCTGCTCAGCCCGCGCGCATCCTCCGACCTCCTCGGACGGCCACAGCCACGATGGAACATCGGGGAACTAAGGCGCGCGCGCTTTTTTTAAAGCGCGTGCGCCTTTTAGTTCGCAGCGCCCGAGGCCCCAAGGCGGCTCAAGATCTTTCCAGCGCAGCGCCCCCTCCGACAGCCCCCTGGCACCCCGAAGTCCCAGCCGAGCTCCAAGGTAGCCCCAGCGGCCCCAAAGATGGCACGAGGAGGCCAAAATTTGGCCCAGGAGAGCCCCATTACAGTCTTCGGCAGCAAGTACCAGCAGCAAGTGAGCAAGCAAGCAAGCAAGCAAGCAAGCAAGCAAGCAAGCATGCACGCACGCACGCACGCACGCACACACGCACGCACGCACGCACGCACGCACGCACGCAAGCAAGCAAGCAAGCAAGCAAGCAGTATGCAGCAAGCAGGCTAACAGCAAGTAAGCAACAAACCAAAACAAGCAGGCGAACTGTTCTCGAGCAGCACTAACGGAAGCAGTTTCCAGCAACAAGTAGCAACAAGCACACGCTGGACATGCTGGTTGACGTGGGCAGAGTCCACAGGTCAGGTCTGGTCAACTACAACGCTGGGATCAGCGCGTGCGCGAAGGGCGAGCAGTGGCAGCGGGCTCTAGCGCTGCTGAGTGAGATGTGGGAGGCAAAGCTGGATCCCGACGTCACCAGCTACAGCGCTGGGATCACCGCGTGCAAGAGCGGCGGGCAGTGGCAGCGGGCTCTGGCGTTGCTGACCGAGATGTGGGAGGTGAAGTTGAAATCGACCGCCGTCACCTCTACACTACGATGCCCGGGGAGCCGCATGTCAGAAGGAAAACGGATCACAAGAGGCAAAACCGGCCCCAGCCGGCCACAGCGCGCTCCAGGCTCCTCTTGTTGGGTCTCCAAGACGGCCCAAGAGTGCCCTCAGACGGTCCAAGATAGTTCATGATGGCTCTAGACGCCTCCAGACGGTCTAAGAGGTCGCCAATATGGCTTTCAAATGGCCCAAGGCCGCAAGACGGCCCAAGAGGGCTCCAAGAGGCCCTCCAGAAGGACCCGAGAGGTTCAAATCATTGACTTTCTTTTCCTTCTTGAAGGATTTGAGCGGTCTCGCCTTTTCTGACCTGCGACGCTGCCAGACGGGGGCTCCCAGACGGCCCCAGCGGGTCTCAAGACGGCCCAAACCGGGAACTCGAGGCTACGTTACTTCGCGCCCTCCGCTCCAAGATCATCCCCGAGAGGCTCCCCAGAAGCCTCAAGAGGCCCTCAGGAGGCCCACATTTGGTTCCCGAGAGGCACCAAGACACCGCCCCAAAACCGCTTGCAAGAGGCTTCCGATGGAAGATCCCTCAGAGAGCGAGCTCTCAGACCGCGTCGGTCACCCAGGAAAGTCAGGCTCCCATGCGCCCCTTAGTGTCTCCCCTTCTTTGGATAGGCTCTGGTCTGAATTGGCGTCTCGTAGGAGAGTTCTCCCTGAGAGTGCTCTGGACAAGCCAGGCATTGAGGGCATGCTCCGCGGTGCCTTCGATTTTTTTTCAGAGCATACGCGCGCATCCTCAGACCTCGAGCGGCCACAGCCACCGCGGAACATTGTTTGAAAACAGGGGCCACGCACTTGCTTCTCAATATCCAACCTTGGCCCTAATACGGCCTCAAGGCGGCTCAAGATTATCCTGTGGCGGCCCAAGATCCCCCCATTACCCCCGTAGGCAAGCAGCAACAGCACGCAGCAGCGGTAAGCATTACAGACTAACAGCACGCAGCAGCGACGGCAAGCAGCAGCACGCAATAACCTGTGCGGAATGCGAAAACGAGCCCCGCGTCATCATGCCAGTGTTTCGGCAGCTGGTCCACCACCACATGCCAGTTCGTGAGTCCACGGGTCGGCCCTGGTCTCGTCTCCAGTGCAGGAACCCGCGCGCGCGCCAGAAGGTGCCGTGCATCAATCGGTTTCTCTAATTTAGGGCGACGAGATCTATGCATATCCACTGCTCCTGGCCAGGCCCATCCTGGGCCCAGGAGCGGTGTATACGCCCTCCTGGCCTGGCCAGGGAGGCATATACACAGCTCCTGGGCCCAGGATGGGCCTGGCCAGGAGCAGTGGATATGTATAGATCTCGTCGCCCTATAATTCCGAGATGCCACAGGGGGCCGAACGCCGAACAACGCCCCTGGGGCAGCTTGGACAGCCCTGCGGGCCTCGGGCCGAACAGAGCCCAATGACGGCCGAAGAAGCGCCCAGGACGGCCCCAAGACAGCCTTTGCTAGCTCGACGACGGCTCAAGAAGCCCCCAAGACGCTTCAAGAGAGGTCCAAAAGGGCCCCCAAGACAGCCCCGAATGGCCAAACTCGTCCCAATCCCTGAGGAAAGCGTTCATGTTTTGCATACCCGTCCTTCCGTCTTCGCAGCGTTCAAACAGGCCCTAGAGTCCCCCCTCAGAGGCCCCCATGAGAGCCCCAGGACGGCCCAAGAGGCGCCCAAGACGGCCCAAGAGGACCCACAACGGCTCCAAGAGCGGCGCAGGACGCCCCAATACAATTCCCAAACGGCCCCAGAGGCGTTCCAGAGAGCCCCAGAGAGCTGCAGACGGTCACAAGGCGAAGTTAGACAAATGAGGGCCCCAAGAAGGCCGAAAGAGGCCCTAAGGGGCCCCCGCACAGCTTCCAAGCGGCCCCAAGGGCTTCAAACTTGTCTCCACGAGGGCAGGGCGGAACAGAGGCGAGAGGCTCTGCGCAGGCCCAGCAGAATCGTTTTAGACGCTCCATGGAGCCTGGATGCTTGCCTCCTAAAGAGGAGGGGGGGCGACGATGAGGAGAAGAAGGGGAGCGACATCGATGATGCTCCAGGGTGGGGTCGGCTTGCCTCCATGGCGGGCGCGCCGCCCCTAGTGGGCGCGTGCGTTGCGACGAGCGCAGCGCGCTGGTACCAGGCAGATGCCGTGGCCTGTTGGCCACGGGTCAGCCCTGGTCAGCTACAGCGCTGGGATCGGCGCGTGCGCGAAGGGCGGGCAGTGGCAGCGGGCTCTAGCGCTGCTGAGTGAGATGTGGGAGGCAAAACTGGATCCCGACGTCAACAGCTACAGCTCTGCGATCAGCGCGTGCAGGACGGGCGGGCAGTGGCAGCGGGCCCTGGCGCTGCTGACCGAGATGTGTGTGGTGAAGGTGGTTCCGAGCACATCCTGCTACGCCCCTGCGATCATTGCTCTGCTGCGTAGGGACGACAAGGAGAGCTAGCTAGCTTCAACGCTTCCGGCGCGCTCTGCGCGCCTGAGAAAGGTTGTTGGGCTCACGTGCAGGGTGCCACACGCTACCCGCGCTGCAGCAGCTCTTCTTTCAGGGTCCCTTCGGAGTTCGGGATCAGACCTGCTCCTCACACCTCTCAGGAGCCTTCAGCATTGTCTTGTGTATCCCGAGAGGCCAGTGGCTACAGCAAGTCCGCTCGCCAACGATGTATGAACTGATCTGTTTGTCCTCCTCCCCCTGGCACTGGCACTCGGCGGCGAGGGCCTCTGAGAAGTCCAGCCGCCTTCTGAGAATGCCTTCTCCTTTTCACTTCCCCCGTTCGCTCGCCGCCGAGGTACGGTCTTGCGATTACTTCGCATCGCTCCATGCTCCATTCCTGGAGCCTGCGGCAGACAGAGGTGACGCGCGGATCGGCCGGAGGCTCGCCGCGCCTTCCTCTTTTTCGCCTCCTTCTAGTTCTCTTTCTCCGAGGATGCGCTTGCCAAAGAAAGCGGGCATGTAAGCGTGCGGCGGATTCCAGAAACCCTGAACCCAAAAATGCTGTCATCTCTTGGGGGCACATGCTTTGCAGCCCGCATAACAAGGATGGGCAACCTTCCCATGGCCTTCCAAGGCCTTCCCAGGAGGCCCTTGCACCCTCATCGTGCATTCTTGTCATACGGGTTGACTGTACTCCCGCCGCCCTTCCACACACGCGCACTACCCCCAATGATCCGTCGGCGCAGGAGGTCTAGTGAGGGGCTCTAAACTACCGTGTGGACGGCGCTGGAATAGGCACTATGCTAAACCAGAAGCCCGACGAAGGGCGAGCAAAGGCAGGTGGGTATCTTCGTGCCCCAGCCCCGCCCCTACGCGCCCTCCAGCAGGAGGACGGCTCTGTAAGGACGCCCTTCCGCCGACTTCCGCCGAAGGCGGCCGCATTGCGCTTCCGCCGCCCTTCCGCCGCCCCTTGGCCGCCCTCCGCCGAGGAAGAGAGGGCAGCTCCTTCGATCCTCGACGGCAAGGCCCTCTTTGGACCGCCCCCTACGCAGATCTTTGTTGTCAGGTAACATTGTCAAGGAGGAGGAGGAGGAGGAGGAGGAAAAGGAGGAGGAGGAGGAGGAGGAAAAGGAGGAGGAGGAAAAGGAGGAGGAGGAGGAGGAGGAGGAGGAGGAGGAGGAGGAATGGGAGGAGGAGGATGGAGGATGGAGGATGGAGGATGGAGGATGGAGGATGGCACGGCTTTTTTTTGGGGGTAACGCACAGTGTGTATTGCTCGCTATTCTTCCAGGAGTGCCTCTGTGGCCCGCCGCGCAGAGAGCGCAACCCCCGCGCGGGTGCCGCCCGTGTCCCCTCGCGCGAGCGGCGCCGTGCTTTACCCGCGGCGGGGGCCCTTTCGAACACTCGACCTCCTCCCCCCTCCCCATTCCCTCCCTCTCCTCCTCCACCGCCTCCCTCCTCTTCCTCCTCCTCCTCCTCCACCGGTTTTCGCCGTGCTCTTCGAGATGCTCACCGAGCAGTTCTTCGAGGTGTTATAGCTTGCGTGTCTGTTGCAGGGGGTGATCCAGCTCGAGTTGGCGAGTCTGTCACTACGTGTATTTTGGTTGCATCGTGGCAATTTATCTGGTTGTCAGCATTGGCATGGCTGGTGGCAGCTGTCGGTTCAGTATACGTATTTCCCCGCCACAAGCGGGGTCCGCGGCTGCCAGCCCTGGTTGGCGAAGGGCTGGGGGAGGTCCCCGCGAGTCCTTCACTGCTGCAGAGGTGCATCTATGTATGGGTCTCTCCCCTGCTCGCTTCAGAAGCGTCCCGTGAGGGAGTTCTGGCCAACTGGCGTTGACGGTTGCGCTTGCCTTCTGCCGGGGGAGGGGCCAGGCTATGGCCGCTGAGGGCGTGTGGGAGCGTCCCGTGAGGGAGTTCTGGCCGACTGTCTGTGACGTCTGCGCTTGCCTCCTGCACGCCCTCAACCCCGTTTGTTGCGGAAGCGTCCCGTGAGGGAGATTCTGGCCGACTGTCGGTGACGGTCGTGCTTGCCTTCCGACGGGGGCGGCCATGGCTATGGCTATTGGGCTTCTGCATGACTCGTGAAATACCACACTTCGGCCGATTTGGGGTTTTGGATGGGGAAGCTGTCTTCGCATGTTCGACCTGGAGACCTAGTCTGTCCTGGACGTCGCGATCACCGCAACCCCTGTGAAGTGGTGTTTTGAACATTTCAGTGCCCAAAGCCCCACCCTCGGCCGAATTGGAGTTTTGGATGGAGCAGACCGATTTCTCATGCTCGACATGGAGACGCTGTCTGTCCTGGACGTCGAGATTTCGAGAGCTCCTGTGTGATTTACTTCATGATATGGGCCAACGTGCATATTGGAGTCTTAATTTTGATATTATTGATTTTGTGCCGAATCTTTCGGCGCCTCCGTGCTGGCCGCCGATTTTCGCCGTGCTCTTCGTGATGCTCACCGAGCAGTTCTTCGAGGCCCGAGCGCGCGGGGCCCGCGTGCGCGCGCGCGGAGCGCGCGCCCGCGCCAGAGCGACACCGTCGCTGCCTGCGTCCTGCGTCCTCCTCCTCCTCCTCCTCCTCCCCCCTCTTCTTCTTCCTCCTCCTCCTCCTCCTCCTCCTCTCCCCCCTCCATCCCTCCTAAATCATATATCCCATCCTCCCCTTTTCCCTCTCCTCCTCCTCCTCCTCCTCCTCCTCCTCCTCCTCCTCCTCCCTCTTTCTCCTCTTCTCCCCCCCCTCCCTCCCATCCTGACCCTCCCCCTCCCTCCCCTCCTCCCTCCCTCCCTCCCCCTCCCCCTCCCCCTTCTCCTCCTCCTCCTCCCCTCCTTGTCCTCCTCTCCTCCTACCTTCCTCTCCTGCGCTCCCTCCTCCTCCTCCTCCTCCCGCCTCCCTCCCCTTCTCCTCTCCTCTTCCTCCTCCCTCCCCTCCCTTTCTCCCTATCCCTCCCTGCTCCTTCCCTCCCCATCCCCTTCCCCCCTACACCCCTCCCCCTCCCCCTCCCCCTCCTCCTCCTCCTCCTCCTCCTCCTCCTCCTCCTCCTCCTCCTCCTCCTCCTCTTCCTCCTCCTCCTCCTCCAGACCTGAGCGGCGGGTGGCAAGGGGCGGCGGTGGTCCGTCGTTTTCTGAAGTCAGATTGTTTGTTCGGCTCGGTTTGTTAAGGCTTGGTCGTCCAGGTACGCAACGCCGTCGCGACTCACTCGCCGAGTTGTGGTCGCGGGAAAACGTCCTCCTCCTCCTCCTCCTCCTCCTTCTCCTCCTTCCTCCTCCTCCTCCCCTCCTCCTCCTCCTCCTCCTCCTCCTCCTCCTCCTCCTCCTCCTCCTTCCTCCTCTTCCATCCTCCTTCCTCCTCCTCCTCTTCCATCCTTTCCACGTGCCCTTTTTGCCCAGGTTTCTCCATGCTCCCCCTTGCATGGCTCGGGTCGGGGCAAGCCGGCCCACTGCGGGGGCCGCCCCGCCTCCGACAGCTGGTTTCGACAGCCCATGCCGTTGCCACTGTTGCCACGGAAGCGAGGTCATAGAGGGGGGCGCCCAGTGTCTGCGGGCGAAGTGCACCCACCGCCATGATCTTGGCTCTGTCAGCCCCCCCCCCGCGCGGACGTCCCGCCGCAGCCGCTCTGGCATTCGATGAGACGTCTCCTGGGAGGTGGGGACCGTCACGTCGCACAGCAAAAAACACGGCGAATCAAGACAGAACTGCCCAAAGAACGTACCACCGATATGAACACGACACCATCTACGGACAATTGGCTTGCAGATTCCGACGGAAACACCGTGACCCGCTTTCACGCGTTGCCCCGAACGACTTCTTCTCGCCAGCACGGACCAGCTGTCAGGCTTCAGTCTCGCGCATGAGCCCAAATCGTGATCCAGGCAGCTGCCCCATCAACACTTCCAAGTGACAGCAGACAATGGCGCGCGAAAACATGCCCCACGCGTGGGCGAGCAAAACCACCTTCAAGGTGCTTGCCCCCGCGCTGGCTCCCCATGCGGAAGAAGCTGCGCGAGCCAAAGGTCGCGCAAAAACAAGGTCAATTGCCCGTCGCGCGCCAGCAAATCGTGGAGGACACCTTCGACGACATATGTGATGATCTCTCAGGAATGGGAGCAGTGGAAGAATTGGCAAAGCGGGTACAAGACGCACATATCGCACAGGCCAGTGTGTTCGATGGCCGAAACCTTCGCGGCCGGGACCGCGGTTGGTCCTCGCTCCGCGTTTCCCCTCGCGGTTTACCAGGCCACCAGCTTACGTAAAGCAAGCCGTCGTTCGTGCTTCAACGTGGGACCTTGGGGTGGGCCTGCATGAGTTGCGCGGAGGCGAAACCCGCGCTTCACACAGTGCCATGTGCCTTCACTTCAAGACAGGCGGGAACGTCGACCTGGTCACCGCAAGAGCAACGACGTTTTCTCAAGGACTACATGTCCAACAACCTTCTGGTAGTGGCTTTGACACAGCCATGCGCAATACTGGACTTCCAAATGGTTTCAGCTATCGTATCAATCATGAGACTCGGACGGCACACTATGACGAGGACCCTCCCCGCATCATGTTATGCAGCCAAGTGGCGATTACCCAGCTACAAGAGGATGGATGCTTCTTCGTCGAGCAGCCGAGCCCAGCTTGACTCGGCACCGCGCAGCGTTGGAAGTAGATCTCACAACGCCCAACCCACAGGCGGGCCAGCTGAGGGCCAAGGTTCCACGCGGCGCCGCAGCCAAGGAACCCCCTCTGGCCATCAGCAGCACACCGCAGCCATTCACGCCGCTTCTCACGGTGCCCAGGCAACCGCGACCACGACTTCAGCT